TGTCTGCCAATTCCTTTTGGTACAGTGACTCTGTATTCTCTATCTTTTTTTTATACTCCCTGGATCATTTAATCTTCTGCCCAAAGCATCCTTAAGTATAGCAACTGGAGGTTTGAATTTGTTCTTCAGTTCCTTGAGCTTAAGAAATGCTGTCCTTTTGATTTTCTGACTCCAGCTCCTTGCACATTTCATTGTAACATTTTACTTTGTCTTCCCACACTGCTTGAAATCTTCTGTTCAACTCTTTAATATCTTGAATTCTTCCCTCTGCTTTGGCTTCTCGGGGCGCTAGTGCAATATTCAGAGTCTCTTCTGACATCCTTTTTGGTCTTTCCTTCCTCCTCTATCTTTGTAATGACCTTTTGCACTCTTCCTGGATGACAGTCTTGATATCCTCCCACAACACATCTGGTTTTAACTCATTGGTGTTCAAGACCTCAAACTTGTTCTTGAGATGGCTTTGAAAGGGAACAATACATAGTTTTAAAAAAGGAAAGGAATGTGTCAGGGTTCTATCCTCTCTCCATACCTACTCAATCTGTATGCTGAGAAAATTATTCTAAAAGCTATAATCTATGAAGAATAAAGTAGCATCAAGATTGGAGGAAGACTAATCAATAATCTCCGTTATGCAGATGGTAAAACAAAGCTTGCTGAAACTGAAGAGGACTTGAAGCAGTTGTTGCAGATCAAAGACTATAGCCATTCACCACTGATGTATGCCTACTTACATCGTCCTAAGTACCTTGTCTTTTCCTGTCCCCATTGGTTCTTTCCTGATTCCTACAACCCCTCCCCTCGCCCACCAAACTCTGTCATCCTAGTGATTCCCCCCGCCCCTCACTCCATCCCTTCATCCCACCATTTCCCCTTTTGGACTTTTACACCCATCTTACTAGTTATCCTTCTATTTTTACAGTAATGGTATTATGCAATATTTAGCCTTATGAGACTAAGCTCACTCAGCATAATACAGTTTAGACTCTCCCATGTTATATAGTATTTTATGAAATGTTTTCTCCTTAGTGCTGTATAATGTTCCCTTGTGTAATTTCTGAATCCATTCAATGCTGATGTACACGTAGGCTTTTTCCATTTTCTTGCTATTGGAAGTAATGCTGCTATGAGCATAGGTGTACAAGTCTCCATTTATGTTTCAGTTCTGTTTTCCTCAGGGTATTTTGAAAAGCATAATGGTAATTAGGGAGCTCTAGTGGC